GCAGCTTCTCTCACTTGCTCACTCTCCCTCCAGGGACAGGGCTAGGTAGCAGAGCCATTCACAGCAACTCCCATGCAGGACCAAGCATGCTCCAGCCCTTCTCCCCTGGCCTTGTTGAGCCTGCATAGGCATCACAGCGGCTCCTCCACAGCCCAGGATGGCCTGCAGGTCACCCTGATGCTCTGAGGAAGAGCCATGCCACCTGCCCAGCAGCTCAGTGCCCCGTGGGCTCTTCCCTTTGACACTTGTTTCTTCACCTTGCATCAGACACAGAAATTTAGAAAGCGCTGGCTGGAGCTGCAGGGGGATGTGGGAAAGACCCGGCCACGTTCCCCTGGGTGTACGGAGTCCACAAGCAGTGCGAGGGCTGAGAGGAGAGTGTGGGATGGGCTGGTCACAAAGCCCCCCCAGGAGCTCTCCGGGGCATCGATGTGCTCCTGGGCATCCACTGACCACCTCAGCTGTGGGAGGGCAGAGCCAGGCAGGCTGCAAATCTGCCAGGCAGCCCAGCGAGTAGGCACTGAGGGCAGAGGGCTCACTGTAGTGCATATGAGGAGGATGGGCCCAGGTGCCGCAGGCTGTGCCCTGCCTTCCAAATGGAGGGCGCGCAGACCCAACCAGAGACGCACGTGCAAGCTGGCCACTCTCCCCTGTCCAGAGCCCAGGGTGAGTTGCTGCGGCCAGGACCTGTCACCCCCACAAAGGCACATTGCTGAGGCCAGCAGCACAGCCTTGGCCCACTCCACTGCAAGCTGAGCCCGCAGGAAAACTCTGGATCTGAGCTGAGCCCCACGCAGAGCAAACACTCATGGGCAAGGTGACTTGGAGTGCCCAGAAGGAGCCAGAGCCTCCAGCTGGAAAAGGCCCACAGTACTTAACAGCACAGAGCAATCCTCCCCTCAAGAGACAAGTTTCTTTGGCTGGCGTGAGACAAGCACAGCTACTGCAGCATCCAAACACCCCAAAGCTCTGCACGGCCCCAGCACAGCTCCATCCCAGGGGGGTCCTGCAGCCCCACGCGCATGCCTGTGTGTATGTGCGTGGGTGCGTGTGTGTGTGTGTGTGCATGTGTGGATGAAGGAAACGTGAAAAGGCAACAATAAATAACTGGTGCAGTCTGTACGAGAAGGAATTGCTGCCAGCCCTGGCACTGGCACGACAAGCCAGGGACAGCACAAGGCCGGCAGCAGAGGCCTCTCAGTCACTCTTGGCGCTGTGTGAGGTGTCCAAGTTGACCACCTGCAGCTCCGTCAGGCTGCTGCCACTGCTGCTCTGCTGCCCGATGACAGCCATCTAGAGAGAAAAGGGAGGAGGAAGCACTGGGGGACAGCATGTCCTGAGACCATGTGTACCAGCAGCCAGGGTGGCACTGTCCTTTCTGGGCACCTGTCCAGGGAGGGCAACACTTCCTCACCCAAAGGTGGGTGGCACTGACAGCTTTCCCAGACCTAAGGACTGGCCCTACCCAAGGGCCCGGGTCTGCCCAGACCCACAAAGGATTGTGGAGGCAGGGGCAGAGCAAGGACACCCCCCAAATACCTGCGAGTCCCACTCTGTGCCTACCTGGTGAAGCTGGACAGCTGAGACTGGGATCTGAACGGTGCCTGATGGGGCTGTCAGGAACACTTGGGGAACGCCACCTGCCACAGAGAGAGAGCACAAATGACACTGTCCCTTAAACAGTGCTCCCCCACGGGTCCTTTCTCTGAGCTCTGTGGAGCTTCACAAGGATGAAGAAGCCTGTTTGCATGCATGGAGGCGTCCCCAGAGAAAGCAAACACTGGGAGAAGCAGGTACAAGCCCTCAATCCAATGCCTGCACGGCTTCATGCTGCTTTGGCCCCTCATGCAACCACACGTCCTCTCCAGAGTCTCCTAGCTCCCTCCACTGCCTGCCCCATATGCCACCCGCCCCAGCAACCCTCGCTCTTTCTCCCCAACAAACAGTTCAGGCAATCCTTTGCATAGGAGAACAGCGGGATCTGAAAGCACACGTAAACCAACACCGGCACCAGGCCTTTGTACAATTGTTAGGACTACTTAGAAGGAAATTATTTGAATTTAATACACAGCATAAATACACACAAGACAAGAAAAATCGGGGTATCAGAGCACTTCAAGGGAGCACTGACCCAGACAGTTGTTTTACCTTGATCCTGGACCTGGCCATGGGACACCTGCATCGCTGAGGGCGCCTGTGAGAAAGCGTTGAGGACTGCAAGTCCACCGTCCGGAAGGCCAGATGTGGGCGCGTACATCACCGCATGTGGGCTGGGGTACATCATGTGGCCACCAACAGTGGTTGGCACAGACGACGTCATGATGGTTGCCGGGAGGGTCACTGGCACCAGGACAGACTACATGTGAGCCACACAAAAGGAGTCTGCTACATCCACACGCCTGCTCAGCACCTCTCCCTCAGCCACCCTTGGCATGCTGCCCTGAAGCAGCAAGTGCATGGAGATACCCATCTTGTTCTCCTCAGCTCCTGGGGAAAAGCCCCAGGGAACAGGCAGGAGAGCTCAAACCTCCCTTTTCACGAGCGAGTATGAGAAGGCAGAAAAGCACAGTAGCCAAACATCCCAAACATCCCAAATATCAGGACTGAATTCAACTTGAGATACAAGTTTCCTGATGGAGTTTTAATAAAGCTGTTGAACTGGATTCAGTTTGTATCCAGGCACCTGAACTCAGATTTTGCTGACAAAAGAGGAGGTATATGTCCAACAGAGGTTGTATATGTCCTCTGCATATACAGTAAAAATGTCAAGCAGATTTGTGCCAATGCCTTGTGCTAGGGGCAATGCTGGCTCACCAAGAAACCATCTAAGAACTGGGCAACGTGTTCCCAGCCTCATGCTGCAAGTGAGATGTATTTGGAGAGGCTCTGAAACCCCTTGTAAGGTGCCCTATGCACAGCAGCATCTATCCAGGTATAGTGTAGCACAGGGGCTGGCAACAGGGATAAATACTCCTGGGAAACTGTCAGAAAGGCTGGGATAGAGTTGCCCTGAAGAAGGATCCTCAGCAGGGAGCAGGTGTGAAGTCTATGGTATAGGTTGTTACCAGCATTGGTTAGGAAGACAGAACAAGGTCACCGCAATGTCCCCATTACCTGTTCCGCTGGAAGAGGTCTGGGTAAGGTCAGTGCTGCTGTCACTAGAGGGAGACGTTTGCTGCGGCGCCTGGTGCACCTGGATCGCCTGGACTGGCACCTGCTGAGCCATGGTACCACCTGGGGAGAGAGAGGAGCCCATGAGCCTGTGGCTCAGCAGGGATGTAGGCACTCCTGGCCATGTGGAAGCCCCCCAGTCCTTCTCTGGACGCACACAGCTCTGCAGCCTGCCTCTGCGCTGCACTGGCGAAGGCTAACCAAAGGCAGAAACCAGGCCCCGTCCCAAAGAGCAGACCAAAGCCTGCTCTTTCCTGGCACACAAGGGTCAAGGAGGGGTTGGTTGGCCTAGAGGGCCCCAGAGAGAAAAGGAAAGGCTACAGCAGCTTTTGTCCAGCTCCCAGGCATGGTTCAGGAACGCCTGAGACCCTCCTCACCAATCCTGGCTCCACCAAGACACAGAATAGAAGATGGCAGGATGAGAGGGCCCAGCACATGCCCATGCTCAGCCAGCCCTGCAAGGACCATCTCACTGCACCGAGCAGAACTGCAAGAGACCAAATGTCCAGGCCAGCTGGGCCCCGCTGCCTTCACGTGATGGGAACCCAGCTCCATCCTCCACAGGGCACTCGGGGAACAGCTGTCTCACCCAGCTTGTGATCCCAAGGACATCACAGGGATTAGAGACCACTGGGCCACAGGATGTGTGTCCCAGAGCTGCAGGGGCACAGCCACACAGCCTCTGGACCAGCCTACTCGCTGCAAAGCTCTTCAGCTCCAGAGACAGAGCTCAGCACAGAAAACTCCTCTCGGGCTCAGTTCCTGTCTCCAGAGGGAAGAGCAAGGGGTGTCAGAGAGCAGGAATCACCTCGCTCAGACTGGGCATATCCCCACACACCACACCAGAGACACACATCCATTATTCTCTTAGCTCCTCCAGATCCCAAGGGAAATCCAGTCCCCTTGCATGGGATCATGCTGTCTGCCAGGGACCACGGCAGCCATAAGGCCTCCAAAAAAGCACCCAGGCTATCGGACTCATCGACTTGGGCACAAACAGGCAGGACACAAGAAATACTGTCTTACTCTCAGTGCCGGTCCTCAGATGATGGCTGCCCCCACAAAGGAGAACCTAGCCCTGCTCTCAAACTCCAGCCAGGAACATGTTCAGCCCCAGTACAACACCTGGAGAGCCTTGACTCAGTGCAACAAGACATTCCTACAATGCACACAAGGCAGCACAGCAACACCACTCCCTCTTCTGCTCCGGGTCTCTCCTAATCTATCCTCTGTGCTGTGGTTCAGTGACTGACCACAAATACAAATACAAAAGCAAAGGCAGCTGCTCAGAGCCAAATGCCAGCACTCAAAAAACACCCATTGGGCATCTGCGCCCTTGCAGTCTCCTTCCAGCAGTCCTCCTAACACCACAGTTCAGCCTCAGCACAGCTGCACCAGGGTCCTGTCTGTCCCCTCTGCATTTGCTAGCGGCAGGACACTGACAACTCGCTGCTTCCCTGGGTCTG